CACTCACTCACTCACTCACTCACTCACTCACTCAACAAATGCAAACACACAGTCCGGTGTAGAAGCAGCATGGGCAATGTTGTCATTGTAGAGTCCAGGCCCTTTCAATGCACTTGGAGTTGATGCTGCCCTCATAATGTCCCTCATTGAAGTGAACCCTTGGTCTTTGACCGTGTACCAGATACCAGAAACTTTGAAACAAGCTTGAAATACATTCCGAAACCACAGATAGCTTGCTATGTGGGCCAGTGTGGGAGTTGCTTGTGAGGCAAGGAACGCCGACGCTAAGCCTCAGCAAGAATTGAATATCCCAAAGCCAGACTCCTGATCTGAGCCCAAAGATAAATCTGTGGCTGAAAACTCTTTGTACACCTCGTCAACCGTCAACGACTGATGCTCAATTTTGCTTATCATTATCCCTGATTCTTCGCCAGCTCCTGATTTCCCTTCGTCCACAGTTGACAGCAAATTTTCTTCTGTGCGCTTGCAGAAGGATGATGTTACATCACCTGGGTTTGCTTCAGGGGAGACAGAGAATGCGACATCACTATCGTCTATACTGGCATGCGTCGCTGGGCAAAGTACTTCAGAAGTCGGGTCGGCGGCAAGTTGAGCGCTGGTCAGGATTGTTCCAAAGCCTATAGCGCGGAGTCCTGACCAAGGTGAATGCCTTGTGGAAAGCCGTCAAAATATGGATGAGAGGCTTGCAAGAAGTTTGGTGGACCAGAAACTATTGTCGCATTCTTGTACACGTGGTGCTCAATGGGTTCTGCCTGGCAGGTACACATATTCACAAAGTCATACCCTTTCCCCCATGCAGCCCTGGCTTGGCCGACACTCCAGGAGCTAAAGTCCAGCCCTAGGCTCACCATCCTGGATGTCGTCTTTACGAGAATCTGCCAGCGAGACTTTGCACGGGCAGCCTTTGCGCGCCCTGTCGCTGCAGGGGATATAAAGCCTAGGATCCTCACAGGCCAAAATGCCGCTCTTGATAGGGTACCTGCTACAAATTTCGACGTGGTTGAGAGGCTCATTGGAGCTCTCATTCCCGGTATGTCTTTGACCTCAAGCAATTTTTCTGACTCATGCTGTTGGAGAATAAGTGGCGCTTCTTCGTAGCCCATCGACTTCGCGGCCTCGTCCTTGCTATACTATCTGCCGACACAATTGTCCCTAGGTTCGATCGATAAAGGCTTTCAGATCAAGACCTCTCTTTTTGTTGCCTGCAGAGTCTGGGTCTGTTACACCCGTAGGCCAAAACTTGGAATGCTGATGGTTTGTTGCTAGTCACATTGTCCAGAATCTCTTGTTCAACATATTCCTCAAGTCTGGCATTTGGTGGAAGAGGAGCAAGACACGACCCATCACTCTTCTGGACAAAAGGTAACTTACCTATACTAATTCCTGCTCTTGCTGCAATGGGTGATGTTGCATCATACGATAATTTCGTTTTCTTCTGGAGTAGGCTCCAAAGAACTTGGGTACCCCTCCGCAAGAAGGTCTGGTGCTGTTGGATCGTAACCTTCCTCGTCTGATGCTTCACCACTGTCGCCAAAGCCATCTCCATCTTTGATCTATACCTCAGGACTGTTGCAACATACCTCTGCTCGATCGATCGTAGGGTTAGGAAAGTGAACGCCCTGCTGCAACGCACCAATGATTGGCTCTTTTGATCTTCCGTCCAACCCCTTTCTTGACAATGAAGACTGGGAGCTTCACTTTGGAGCCTGCATTTCTCAGCAGAAAGTGCGTCTGCTGCGTATTGGCAGCCAGGAATCAACCTATGCCATCTTACTGCGAGGAGCTTCGCAAACGGGCAGTCCCCGGCTTTGCAAGGCGGAGCATTCTGTAATAGAAGTCTGCAAACGATCCATGCTTCTTTTTGATGGACTTCAAGAGATCTTTCTTCTTCAGGTCTAGATACTCAACCATACCTTCATCATACCCCTTGCACGCACGCACGCACGTACGCACGCACTCACTCACCCACGCACTCACTCACGCACCCACCCACGCACTCACTCACTCACCCACCCACGCACTCACTCACCCACTCACTCACTCACCCACGCACTCACGTACTCACTCACTCACTCACTCAC